CCGATCTCTAGGGGATTCTGGGAGTTGAAGTCCACTCATCTTAAAGTGGTCAAGTTTGGACAACACTGGTATAAAGGCTTTGGGCTTCCTCTTTTCTATGAAAGCCAACTTTAGCACCTCGTTTGGAGATACCTGGGCAAGTAAAGCATCAGATAATAAACGAAGGAAGGAGCGGAGCTTTTTTTTGGAGGTTATCCAATGACTCTGAGGGCACAGTGGAGCAGGTATGACAGATCTGGCTGAGTGACTCCCCGTCCATCTCCTGGGGTTGCCAGCGTGACCACTATCGGCTTCCAACCTGGAAGAAGTCAAGCCTGCCTCTTTTGGGGCCAGTCTCAACAGGAGTCACCCGGCTTCAATCTGGGTGTCTAGGTGTCCCCACACTTTCAAATGGTGAGGGGAAGGATACGCATGAGAGAGAGAGAGCAGCGTATTGCTTGCCACGGTGAGATCAAGGCTGCAATCCTTGGATCTCAGTCGTGCCTTTTCCACTCCTGGAACTTGTGCCGCCCAAATGTCTGGGCACTGTCCTTGGGTGGGGAGAAGAAAGGCTTCTGCATCTGCCAGGGCTTCCTGTCCTTCTGGTCCCTCTCGTGCTTGAGGTGGCCCCTCCCTTTGCCGCGCTCACCCTTGGAGTGCCCCTTTTTTTCTTCCGGTGAGTGATGGTCTTGCTTATGCGCCTTCGAGGGATGGGCTGCTTCATCATGTTTGTGGCGATGGGTCTTCCTGTCCTCCTGCTGCTTCTCCTTCCCCTTCCCTTCCCGCCGATGTCTCCTGTCCTGTAGGTGCTTCTTCCCTTCTTCCTCCTCCTCCTCAGCCTTGCGACCTTTCCGGCCTTTATTCTTAGAAGGTGTCTCTCGCCTCACTTTCTCCTGGCTTTTTCTGGGGCTCACCTTTGTTACTGGTTCCTCCTCTATTTCTGCCTCCTCATCTGCTACCTCTGCCTCTTTCTCTTCTGTTTCTACTAGTTCTGTCTTTTCTCCCCCATCCTCTTCTGAAGGTGCCTCCTCTTCCTCCTCTACTTCCAAGAGTTCCTCCTCTACTTCCAAGAGTTCCTCCTCCTCTACTTCCAAGAGTTCCTCCTCCTCTACTTCCAAGAGTTCCTCCTCCTCTACTTCAGGAGGTTCATCCATGTCCGACCAATCAAACCATCGTTCGTAAAACCACAGCTCCTCCTGGAAAGGAAAGAAAGATGTAACAGTTTTCATCACTGTGACTTCAAGGGTCTGGCCTGAGATAGTTTAACCTTAGGGGTAATACAACAGGACTCTTCATATGCTTTTGAGTCTTACTCTAGCCACGTTAGTCCAGCATCCTGCCTCTCGATGCTTCTGGAAAAGCCACCAGCAGGAATGCATGAAAATCTGCCTATTCAAAAAGCATTGTCCTATTGAAAACTGATTGTGAAAAGCAACAACTTGTATCTGTGCTGACATGCTACTGCTGGAACATGGAGGATTCTGTAAATTCATTGTTACTTCAGTAGCAAATGCTGATGAAGGGGGACAGGACTGTGGACAGTTGAAGTCCACACATCTTCAAGTTGCCAAGGTTGAGAAATCCTGCTCTAGAGCCTGTCTCCTGATGGATAGATTGGAATTCATTGACTAAAAATCTTACTAGGAGCCCTCCATATTACACCCATTTGTTGCAGGCCCCTTTTGTTAAGGCTTTCCTTTAAAACCATTTGAAACTAGTAGCCAATGCCGCAACTCGAGGCAGTGAAATCTGCAGGTTGGATTTGCCCTCCTTTCTTTACTCTCCGTAGAGCTCCTCAATTTTATTCAACAGCCCCAGTGATTTTAGAAAGGGACCCCTGGTCTGGGGAAGAAACATAACATGGATAGAAATTGGACAAGGCAGGAAAATCCGGCCTCCCCATAGTATCTTTTAGAATAACCTATTTCAGTAGCTTTATTAGTAACATTTCTGGAACCAGTTCAAGACTTTTGAAGGTTTTTGCCTTCCTGGATTTAGGAACATAAAAGCAATTGTAACTGTTTGGATGCATCTGAAAAAAAGACAAGAAATGATAAATCCACTCATATCAGTGTGACACAACTGAAGACCAGGCTTGCCTGCCCCCAGTGCAAGGCCTTCTAGAAAACATTAAAAATGGAATTGTTCCAAAGGAACTTTGGTGGTTAATGTTGTCTTGCTGGGGTTGGCTGATTTACAGTATAATTGTCTGTTTTCTGTTATCTTATGTTATTTGATGACATTCAGCAAACTATTAAAGACTTGATTTTGTCCCAGCCTTTGGATGCTTGAGACCCTGTTGGATTGGGCGGTGAGGGGGGAGGGGGCGGTATTTGTTTATATACTAGCCACCCAGAATCATTGGGAATCAGGTGACATCTAAACTGTATGAATGAATGAATGAATGAATGAATGAATGAATGAATGAATGAATGAATGAATGCATGCATGCATGCATACATGCATACATACATACATACATAAATGTTACGTGTGTAGTGATGGTGATCATAATTTAATTTGATGTTACAGGATTGGTATTTGTTTACACCATGGATGTTTTCATTTTGTAATGGCAGTGTTAGTTCTGTTGTGTGTGCTTTATTATTTATATATTTATGTTACACTACGATTGCCGTTTGATTTTATTGTAAGCCTCTGTGAGTTGATGGCATATAAATCCAATCAATCAATCCTTTTATTAGAGCCAATCAAAATGTTTGGGGTCATTGTCCAGCAGCTGCCAAGCCCGGGTACCTATGGTCATCCTTGATTATGAACATGCAGATATGGTTTACACAATAAACTAGTGTATTTCCTTGGGTTTTGCTTAGCACCTTGTAGAAACCCAGTTGTTCTGGCTTATGCTAAGGTTAAGCCAAAACGTAATCTGGTGCAGTGTGTAATGCAGTGGGGCTACTCAGCTGAATAATAAATATCCTGCCTCTGCATTGTTCTCACCAGATGTCCTTTGTCCTTTTCCCAGGGAATTCTATTAGGAAGAATAACACCTTGGGCTCCCAACCTGGAGCCTGCTATGCCTGGTGGTTGCCAAATCTAGAACATCCCTTCTTAAGGAGATGGGAGCGTGTATCTTACGTCATGCTGAAAAATGTAAGAATCAGAAAAGGAAAAGCTGTGCTGACGTTTGTCGAAAGATTCATGAACTTGCAGCTCATAGGTTCTGCTGGCTTTGTTTTGTGAATCTCTGCTAGAACACACACCTATAATTTATGTATTTAAACCTAAGGTTAAGTTTTTAAAGTGGGATGTTTTGGGGGTTTTTTGCCCTCTGATGAAATGAGTTTTCTTGGATCCTTTCATGGGAATGCCACGGTGGACTTCTTTCCCCTTCTCCACTTTAACTCACCTGTTCCCCAGCGCTGTCTTCTTGTGTGGTCCAGGCACTCAGCTCTGCCTCAAGGACAGTCCCACCATATTCTATGACCTCTGTAAAAAGGACGGGATGGCGAATGAGCTCCCATATTAAAATTAATTTTTTCTGCATATATGGTGCTTGAGGTCAAGACAAGGTGAGGAGGGGTATGCCCCAGCTTGAAGATGAAACTCTGGAAGATCCAAAGATATGGTGGCAGTGGGGTAGCCTAATAATTTTAGATGTTGGAATGATAGTCAACCTTGTTCTATCTTTAATTGCAATGTTCAAAGGTAGGTTCAGATTGTAAGAAACCTTAGAAAAAAGTATTTGGGGGGCATCTTTGGCACCCCCTCCGGAACATTACCCCTTCCAAGTATTTTTAAAACCCAAATGCCCTTCCCCATTCTGCTCCAAAGGACCCCAGGTTTTTGATCCAAGTCTTGCTGTTTGAGTTTCAGGATTAACTGGCAGAGAGAAGAATTCAGGGTGCCGAGGTCAGGCTCAAGAACTAGGAACTTGGTGTTCTGTATCTGCCTGGTCACAAAGACCGAGCTCCCTCAGGAGACAAAAGCCCAACTATACTATTGTTACACATTCTACTTGCCAGCTTAGGAGGTTTTTTTACCACAAGGCATGAGCTCCAAGGCGAGGCAGCAGCTTGATAAGGTGTGAAGGTGGGGAGCGAGGGCGGGATTTACCAAGAGTTTGATCTCAGGAGAAAGGACTTACCTTGAACCACCTGACAGCTCACACTGAGGAGAGCCAGGAAGGATGCAACCAGAATGCATTTGTTCAAAGACAGTCCTTCCCAAGGAAGAGTGTCCTTAGCAGCCCGGCTTTCTGCTTTCCGCTTCACAGAGACAGTCCTCAGTGCTTCAAGGAGAGAAAAGGGAGGGCCTTAGCATAGCAGATTGGGTCCCCCACCACAAAGGCCTTTGCTACCAGCTCCTGAGTGTTTGGGGGGTGATCTTTGCAATAAAAACAGGATAGAAGTTCAAGCCAGAACCTACATCCATGGCCAACTCTCCCTTTCCCTCCATGGCCAACTCAAAGCTTCTGAGAAGCCCACATGCCAAGCGCATAGACAGCCACCCTCTGCTACTCTTTGGGTCATGGCTGGGATGGAGACTGCCTCTGAATGTGGGGGCTCTATTTTTCTACTTATTTTAGCCGCCACTATTTAAAATATTCACCACCTGTTGTGCCATGAATCTTCAGAAGATGTTAAACATTAACATAGTTTACACAACTTAAAAACAATAAAAGATACCAAGGGGGTATCTGTGTAAGTCCAGAAAATGGGTTAATCTCAAAACCAAGTTATGAATCAAACCACAAAATAGTAAGGAGACTAAAAAAGCTTAAAACATATAAACATATAATCCAAGGGCAGTGAAGGTAGAGCGGTACAATAATGAGGTATCAAATGTCAAGGTGAATAAAAATATTTTCAGTGTACAACTCAAAGGTAAGATAGTTCCTGCAGATTTTATTTGCATGGTGAGGGTGTTCCAGTCTGGGACCTCTCTACACCTGTCCCCAATCCCCCGGGTCCCTTACCTCTGGTGATCCTACAAAAAGAGGTGCGAGGGCT